AAGGTAGCAATACTAAGGCAAAGTTATATTATGAGGTACTATTGAAACATAAAACTGAAAATAATTTTACGGTGTCTAAAATTGAAATTACATTTGATAATATACCTGGAAAGATATTTGTGATAAAAGATTGTGAAAATGATAGATAATACAAAAATTGTACAATATATAAAATATATAAAGTATGATTGAGAAAAAGTTTAATTATTTACATACTAAAGAAAAATAAATAAGTTTACAAAAGCAGTTAAATTGAGATATAAAGTTACATAAGAATAATTAAAATGGGAGGAAAATATGATTAAAAATGTAAACAAAGTGATAAATATAAGGCCAACTTATCGAGCTGAATATTCGAGATGTTCAGTCAACTACCATTTATTACATGTATAAATTATAAAACTACAGTCATTATATTAAAACTAACGCAAATTACAATCATTCTATAAACGTTTCGACCGCACGCGGTCTTCTTCAGTATAATTATTGAAATATAAATTCTTACAATTCACATAATATCGAAATTTAATTATAGTTATTCAGAATCAAGAGTTTTTGAGCAATTAACGCGTGTTTCAATCCGTCCTGTCCAACAATGTTCGCCTCGATATGATCCCTGATTTTGTTCAGATCTCGGATAGTTTCATCGTTAATATGCGAGAAATTAACCCGTTCCGTAGGCGCTGCGATTAATAAAAAATTACCGATCAACGTATGTCCAAATTATAATATGTATCCCCTACAATTGGTAGTATGCTTACCTATCATCGTTCTTCTTGACAATTTTGCTACTTATTAACAGTTATTAAGGATGACACATAACAAACCAACAATACAGAAAGACAGCTCATTTTAAACTCTACTTGATCGGAGAGCGTGCGTGTTTATATATGATCTAATATCTATGTTTTACTCGTTAATGTCCTATTTGTCCTATTATTATTTCTTGTTCGCTAATATATCCAAAATATCAAAATACGACTCGCTAAGTAACTCAGTATCTTTGTTTAAATTTAGTCCATTTTTTTGTTCCTTGATATGTAGCATCTCAGAAATGAGTCTTTTATAATAATTATTTTCGTTGTCCATGATCTTAACATTGTCCCAATTAAAAGTATGATGTTCATTTATTATGTGTTCAGAAATTACTGAATGTTTCGTTGAGTCCAATCTAATATTATTTTTATGTTCTTTCATTCGCGTCTGCAATTGCCTCTTTGTTTGGCCTACATAAGATGCATTACAATTATTGCAACTGATCTTATAAACCACATTCGAATTGCATGGATGTTTAGTTTTATCTTTCTGCGCTTTAATAATATTATCCAGTTTGTTGAGACATCTATACCCTACCATACAATTTTTATTTTTTACCGAGGAAACAATCATTTCTGAGATCCCATCTATATACGGAATGACAAAGAATTTTTTATTGACCGAGTCATTTCCTATACTTTTTGTTCTTTCTATGTTGGCCTGTCTCTCTATAATGCTCCCCTTAGATATGATGTGTTCTATCCGATGATTAATTTTGTTAAAAATCAGATCAAGAGGGTAACCATTGCTTCTGAGTATATTAATAATTAACTCCAAATTTTTATTAAAAAATAGTGGATGTGATAGCAATAGACATCTGTCTACAAGGTTATATATTATTCCAATTTTGTGGCATAATGGGTGGTTTGAATAAAATGATAACGTCCTTCCTGAGAAGGTTTCTTTTTGATACCAGTCTATATATATTTTGTTATTAATAATTTTAAGTGATAAATCTAAGAAATTCAAGCTATGGTTAACCTCTTGTTCGACCGTGAATTTAAGTCTTTCATGATAGTTGTTAAAATTATTCACAATCTGAGTCATATTAGTCATAGAGGTGGCCACTATTATGTCATCCACATAACGAAAATAAAACAAACATTCCAAATTCAACGCTTTGAGAACTGTATCCTCAAGATCTTGCATAACCAGGTCTGCAATAATTGGTGATAACGGTGACCCCATAGGGGTCCCAAACGTCTGTTTATAAATTATGTCATCAAATGTAAAATATGTAGAAGTCAATATGAATTTTATACCCCCCAAAAATTCGTTTTTCGGTATTTTAGTATTTATTCCAATGTAATCCCATCTATCGTTAATACCGTCAATCGCAAGATCCAGAGGAACGTTCGTAAACAAAGACACCACATCCAAGGAAAACATCCTATCATTCTCATCAATCTTTTTACCAGACAATATGCTGTACAAATCAAAACTATTATTAATATGACTTTTCGCTTTGGGTAGGCTAGTTCGTAAGGTGTTTTGTAAAAACGAAGCCAGCGAGTATAGAGCTGTATCAACCGATGAAACTATGATTCTAACTGGATAGTTTTCCTTATGGATTTTAGGTAATCCATACGCTTTTGGAAGGAGAGAATCACTACAACGTAATTTATAATATTCGTTTTTTGAAATATAATCTTCCTTAAGCCATCTCTTCAACAAATCATTCAAATCGTTCTCTATTTTTTTGCACGGATTTTTTTTAAAAAATTTTAAAATAAAATTTATAAAAAAAATCCGTGCAAAAAAATAGAGAACGATTTGAATGATTTGTTGAAGAGATGGCTTAAGGAAGATTATATTTCAAAAAACGAATATTATAAATTACGTTGTAGTGATTCTCTCCTTCCAAAAGCGTATGGATTACCTAAAATCCATAAGGAAAACTATCCAGTTAGAATCATAGTTTCATCGGTTGATACAGCTCTATACTCGCTGGCTTCGTTTTTACAAAACACCTTACGAACTAGCCTACCCAAAGCGAAAAGTCATATTAATAATAGTTTTGATTTGTACAGCATATTGTCTGGTAAAAAGATTGATGAGAATGATAGGATGTTTTCCTTGGATGTGGTGTCTTTGTTTACGAACGTTCCTCTGGATCTTGCGATTGACGGTATTAACGATAGATGGGATTACATTGGAATAAATACTAAAATACCGAAAAACGAATTTTTGGGGGGTATAAAATTCATATTGACTTCTACATATTTTACATTTGATGACATAATTTATAAACAGACGTTTGGGACCCCTATGGGGTCACCGTTATCACCAATTATTGCAGACCTGGTTATGCAAGATCTTGAGGATACAGTTCTCAAAGCGTTGAATTTGGAATGTTTGTTTTATTTTCGTTATGTGGATGACATAATAGTGGCCACCTCTATGACTAATATGACTCAGATTGTGAATAATTTTAACAACTATCATGAAAGACTTAAATTCACGGTCGAACAAGAGGTTAACCATAGCTTGAATTTCTTAGATTTATCACTTAAAATTATTAATAACAAAATATATATAGACTGGTATCAAAAAGAAACCTTCTCAGGAAGGACGTTATCATTTTATTCAAACCACCCATTATGCCACAAAATTGGAATAATATATAACCTTGTAGACAGATGTCTATTGCTATCACATCCACTATTTTTTAATAAAAATTTGGAGTTAATTATTAATATACTCAGAAGCAATGGTTACCCTCTTGATCTGATTTTTAACAAAATTAATCATCGGATAGAACACATCATATCTAAGGGGAGCATTATAGAGAGACAGGCCAACATAGAAAGAACAAAAAGTATAGGAAATGACTCGGTCAATAAAAAATTCTTTGTCATTCCGTATATAGATGGGATCTCAGAAATGATTGTTTCCTCGGTAAAAAATAAAAATTGTATGGTAGGGTATAGATGTCTCAACAAACTGGATAATATTATTAAAGCGCAGAAAGATAAAACTAAACATCCATGCAATTCGAATGTGGTTTATAAGATCAGTTGCAATAATTGTAATGCATCTTATGTAGGCCAAACAAAGAGGCAATTGCAGACGCGAATGAAAGAACATAAAAATAATATTAGATTGGACTCAACGAAACATTCAGTAATTTCTGAACACATAATAAATGAACATCATACTTTTAATTGGGACAATGTTAAGATCATGGACAACGAAAATAATTATTATAAAAGACTCATTTCTGAGATGCTACATATCAAGGAACAAAAAAATGGACTAAATTTAAACAAAGATACTGAGTTACTTAGCGAGTCGTATTTTGATATTTTGGATATATTAGCGAACAAGAAATAATAATAGGACAAATAGGACATTAACGAGTAAAACATAGATATTAGATCATATATAAACACGCACGCTCTCCGATCAAGTAGAGTTTAAAATGAGCTGTCTTTCTGTATTGTTGGTTTGTTATGTGTCATCCTTAATAACTGTTAATAAGTAGCAAAATTGTCAAGAAGAACGATGATAGGTAAGCATACTACCAATTGTAGGGGATACATATTATAATTTGGACATACGTTGATCGGTAATTTTTTATTAATCGCAGCGCCTACGGAACGGGTTAATTTCTCGCATATTAACGATGAAACTATCCGAGATCTGAACAAAATCAGGGATCATATCGAGGCGAACATTGTTGGACAGGACGGATTGAAACACGCGTTAATTGCTCAAAAACTCTTGATTCTGAATAACTATAATTAAATTTCGATATTATGTGAATTGTAAGAATTTATATTTCAATAATTATACTGAAGAAGACCGCGTGCGGTCGAAACGTTTATAGAATGATTGTAATTTGCGTTAGTTTTAATATAATGACTGTAGTTTTATAATTTATACATGTAATAAATGGTAGTTGACTGAACATCTCGAATATTCAGCTCGATAAGTTGGCCTTATATTTATCACTTTGTTTTCAATATACGAGCGACAATTGTATTAATTTATTTTTAAAAATGTAAAGTGTACCTGTTTGTAAAGATAGTATATCAATAATAAAAAAGAATTAGAGAAAATATAAAAATATTAAAGAATTAGAGAAAATATGTATTAAAGAATTAGAGAAAATATTATGTATTAAAGAAAATATATTGTTATGTATATAAAATATATAAAGTATATAAAAATGATTGAAAAAAAAATTTTATTTAATTAATTGGTTAAATAATTTTGAAAGCAATTGAATTAGAAGATATGAAAGAATTAAAATTGAAGTAATAACAAAATTGTTATTGATTTGTCTGTAAAGGTAGTGGTATATCAGTGATACCCTTAGGTACTCTTAAACCACGTCTACTATATCCCAAAGCTGCTTGAATGATATGTATGGCTGCTTCTACAGTGATCTTCACGTCTCTCTCGCTGCCAATTTGTGGATTGACTTCTACCAAATCTATGGCACTCAATCTATGTGTTCTGTATATTTCTTCCATAAGATTAATTGCTTCTCTTAAAGACAGTCCTCCGCGGACTACAGTTTGGTAAGTACAGAAGAATTAGATTAAGAATTTATTAGTAAAAGAAAAATACATTTTAATATAATATATAATCTATTACCTGGAGTTCCAGTACTAGGTGCTTCGATAGGATCTAATGCGTCTATATCAAAACTAACATGTAAAGATCTTGAGTTATGAGGATCTATCTTATTCAGCGCCATATGCATTACATCATGAATACCTAAAAATAATAATTTTAGTGCATTTCATTTTATGTATAGTTGACACAATTATTTTATATGCAAACCATAGCGTTCTATGTCTTCCATGCCAAAAGCAGTGATGCCAAATTTTTCAATCACCAATCTTTCGTAACGATCCACAGATCTTAAACCAATGTAAGCTACATTTCTGATAGACAACCTATAAAAAGAAATCCTGTATCAAATTTCTCTTTTACTAATTATAAATTATTAAATAAATCGATATATGCTGAGGATGAGTTAAAAGAAGAATCGAAATGTTCAAAATAATTGAAAAGAAATTTAAGAACAATTTTGTTACGCCTAATATCTTTTTATCACCTGATTTTATATTTATCCCTTTTAATTCATTTTTGTCAATATGTAATTCAAATATAATAGAATTAAAATATTTATAATAATATTTTTAATAAATATATAATCCTAGGTAGCAAGTATACATCATTTAGAAGTCGAATAACGTCATTAGACGTTAAAATGACGTCATTTTAACATTGAATGACGTCATTAAGTTTTAAAATAATGTCATTTTGACGTTTAATGACATCAGTTTGCTATTTGAGATATTATATAATATTTATAATAAAATCTTTATGTATTTAACACATATTTAAATATTTGAACATTACTCTTACATTGGCATTTGCCAATCCATGCCTGGTAAATATGGCCAATAATCTGCTAATTCCGAAGTTAATAATGCAACAGGCATTCCATGTACATTACCACTCTCACTGGTCCTATCGGTGTTTAAATCCGCATGGGCATCCACCCATAGCACTGCTACATCTTGTTTTTCCTGAAAAGTGTTTGGATTTAATAATTATTATTATTTTTTTTTTTTACATACACAAACATATTTCTATTAAATTACTTTTACGTGTCCATCAATAGTTCCAATACTCAAGCTGTGATCACCACCGATTGTCAATACTTGTCTACCATCTCGTAATACTTGTCGAACTTGTTCGGACAAACGACTTGTACAACTTGCTATGTAACCCAAATGGGACATATTATTTATGCCACTTGTATTATTATTTTTATCGTAGAGCACATCACCATAATCTTGTACATCCAACTCTGAAGAAACAAATATAGATTATGTTCACATTTTTTTATTTTATACAAAGGAAAAAATTTACATTATTATATATATATATATATATATATATATATATATAAAATTATGTATATAGCTAATTATACCTAATGTTTTTAATTCGTTTATCAACTTTGCTGCTCTAATTGCATCTGGTCCACAAGCCACTCCTTCTTTCTCCTATTAAATTCATTGTCTTTATGATATAATTGATATCTTTTCTGTTACTTTTATTAATATTGATTCATAAAGTAATATATATATATATATATATATATTGTGTTTTTTTTTACCTGCCCTTTATCAAATGGTACTCCAATTATCCCAACTTTTGTACTATAAGAGCGAATACATAATTTACCATAGTTTGTACATACTTTAATTAACATATTTATTTTATTCATCTTGTCTCTCCCTTGCTACAGAGTTGTTCTAAATGTTTGAAGATAATGAACGAAATAACTGCTCTTTGACCTGTAGATTCGATCTTGTATATCATTGAAATGTTTGTATACAACATACAATTACATATTACAACATAGATAGATATGTAAAACTGATTATCATATACATATATAGACAAAGAATATAAATGTATGTGTGTGTGTGTGTGTATTCTTCTTCATATATATATATTAGTTCATATATATAAAAGCACTGTGTATGTATATATAAAAATTATGTATACTTAATACTTATTTATATGTATATATATATATATATATATATATATATATATATATATATAATAAATATAAAATATATAATAAATTTAATTTACAATATATAATTATAAATTAATTAGTTTAAATGTTTAATGATTGAATAAATTAGTGAACTATATATTATAATTAAAATCACAATTATTTTTATTAAACTTGACGTTAAATATACAAGGTTTAAATATAGTAAATCATAATATATGTGTTATATTAATAATTAATTGATAATATCTATTAGAACAATATGGGTATTTTTTAATTTTTAATTTTATTATATGTAAAATATACCAATATTTGCACTGCATTTATTAATATACATCTTTACATTAGATCCTATTGATCAAGATAAACAATAATATAATAAAGTATTGCCAGCAAATATTTTTGAATAAAAATATTATTTTGGACCAAGCATTTGTTCTGGTTTAACCCATTGATCAAACTGTTCCGCTGTTATTCCATGTTTCACTGCAGATTCTTTTAATGTGAGTTTTTCTTTATGTGCATGTTTAGCAATTGCAGCAGCCTATAAAAAAATTATAAAAATGATTTCTTACAAATATCAATAATTTTGATATTTTTTCTTATTGAGAACAACTGTTTATTTAATTATTATTCTTATTGAATAACAATAATAATAGCTCTTACTATTAATTATTTTACTTTTTTAATTACTTATGTTATTGTAAAACTGTGTGTGAGAACCTTTATGTCCACTCAGTGTGTACTAGTTCTCCCAGTGAAAAACGCTATAATATAACAAATACAAAAAGATATAAATACCTTATCGTAACCAATATATGGATTCAATGCTGTGACAAGCATCAAACTTTCAGACAAATTCTTTTCTATTCTCTCAAGATTGGGAGCAATGCCTATGACGCAGTTCTTTGTAAACGATGCGCTGGCATCACCCAACAATCTTGCGGATCTTAGAGCATTGGCTACCATAATTGGTTTAAAAACGTTAAGTTCAAAGTGACCGCTACTGCCACTGATACTTATTGCCACTTGATTGCCCATTACTTGACTGCACACCATAGTCATTGCTTCGCACTGCGTAGGATTTACTTTTCCAGGCATAATAGAGCTCCCAGGCTCGTTTTCCGGAAGAGATAATTCTCCTAATCCACATCTAGGTCCACTTCCAAGAAATCTAATATCATTTGCAATCTATTTGCAAATTATACACAAAAGATTGGTAGATTGGTACAATATAAATAATTAAGAACATTTTTATAATATTAATATATACAGAGTAATTTATTTTAATCGCTCCAGGCAAATATTTCGAAAACTATGAGAAATACAAAAAAGTTTCTAATATAAAAGGTTTTTGATTTTGAGAGAGACATAAGATGGTGTAATTAGTTTGACCTTGTATAATTATTTAAAGGTCACGTACAGGTCACCTTCAATGTCTTAAATAGAACCTACTATTTTTCATTGCATATTCTTGTAGCTTATCTCGAGAGCTTTTCAAAATGCTATAATAAAATATTTTCTTCTTAAATGCTTTTTGAGTTAAGGTTTGAAGTTACCAATTTTTTTGACATAAAATGTAAAATATTCAGTTTTCGATAATCTTACCTACTTTATGCATTGAATAATGAAATCAAATAATTATTTTTAAAAAAGTAAGTAATTTGCAACAATGTAGCTACATGGTTTTTTTTAAAAGCAACTATGTGTTTTCTTTATGAATTGATTGGTCTTATTCCGTACATAAAAGTATTAAGATATAATTACCGAAAACTAAATACTTTACAAGATATTTTACATTTTATGTCAAAAAATTGTTAACTTCAAACTTTAATAACTCAAAAAATACTTAAAAGAAAAATATTTTATTATAGTGTTTTGGAAAGCTCTCGAGATAAGCTACAAAAATATGTGATGAAAAATAGTAAATAGAAATTCCATTTAAGAAATTGAAAGTGACCTTCAAATAATTATACAAGGTCAAATAGAAGTAAAAAACTTTTGTTTGAAACATTTTTCGTATCTCTCACAGTTTCCGAAATATTTGCCTGGAGCGATTAAAATGAATCACCCTGTGTGTGTGTGTAAACACATACACACACATATATTGTATATATGTACGTGTGTTGTGTGTGTGTGTATATATGTATGTATATATATGTATGTATATATACGTATGTATATATACGTATGTATATATATGTATGTATATATATATATATGTATATATATATATGTATATATATATATGTATATATATATATATATATATATATATATATATATATATATATATATACAGAGTGATTTATTTTAATCGCTCCAGGCAAATATTTCGAAAACTATGAGAAATACAAAAAAAATTTCTAACACAAAAGGTTTTTGATTTTGAGAGAGACATAAGATGGTGTAATATATATATACCTTCATAAGAGAAACAGCCACTGTATTAAAAGCACCATGTACTTCAACTATTGCATCATGAGCAGCTAGAGCTTCAAATTTATTTGGAGCAGGGACAAATGGTAAACCAGTGAATTCCGCAACTTTTGCAACTATCTTTTCTACAGCGACTTTTCGCGCATTTAATCCAGTTCCAACTGCTGTACCACCAAGAGCTAATTGATATAATCTTGGAAGTGCAGCTTTCACTCTCTGAATACCATATTTCACCTGCATGGTATATCCTGTGAGATAATATGAAATATTTTAATGTGTGTCTTTATGAAAAGTATACTTTTTAAGTACTCTCTCTCTCTCTCTCTCTCCCCCTCCCTCCCTCTCTCTCTCTCCCCCCTCTCTCTTCTCTCTCCCTCTCCTCTCTCTCTCTCTCTCTCTCTCTCTCCTCTCTCTCTCTCTCTCTCGCTCTCTCTCTCTCTTTCTTTGAATATATTTTAAAATTAAAAGATATATACCTGAAAATTCTTGACCTAATGTTAATGGAACCGCATCTTGAGCGTGTGTTCTACCAATTTTTATAATATTCTTCCATTCTTCTGACTTTTCCTTCAATGCTTCATGTAATTTTTCCAAGCCTGGGATTAATACTTTATGAATCTCTAAAGCAACCGCTACATGCATAGCCGATGGAAATGTATCATTGCTACTTTGTGACATGTTAACATGATCATTCGGATGTACAGGTTTTTTCGAACCAAGTTCTCCACCAAGTATTTCAATTGCACGATTGGCAATAACCTAAGTATTTTCGATCATTTCTATTAATAAAAGAGATATTCTAATGTTATAATTTAAAATAATATTAAAACACATATACAGTGATAGAAAAAAATTCTATAAAGCCCCATGCACAATACTAAGCAATAGGCAATAAGAATAAAAAATAAAAAATATCCACCAATAGGAGCAGAAAAAAATATCTATCTCCTTTTCCGATTAGTTAATATTTTTTATTATTTATTCTTATTGCCTGTTGCCTAGCATTGTGCAAGGGCCTTAATGGTAAAATATCTTGGAAAATAATGACTATGGAAACAAATTTAAATGTTAAATACAAAAGTACTTGGATAATATTAACGTCGGCTATATTTAAATTTTGAAGGTTCAGGAAGATCTCGAGTAAAAAGGATTTGTAACCAGTGTTTCGGAAACGCTTTGACACTAGCTTTAAGAATATGCAATAAAACATGGGGGTTTCTACTTAAAATTTCAAAGTCGAGCTTCACGACGTCCTTCAAAGTTACATGAAGGTCATATCAATATAGCCACATAATAGACCATTTAATTTTCTTTTATATTTAACATTTTCTACCAGTCATTATTTTCCAAGATATTTGACTAATATGGAACTTTTTGCCATCACTGTATATATACAGGGTGTCCTGAAATTCACGAATATTAGCAATTATAGCAAGAAAGTGCATAAAAAAATAAATTAAAATAGTATTTATAGTTTTTTTTATTAAACAGTAGTTTTTAAAATAGTAAAGGTAAAAAGTTAACGAGTTAGTTTTAAAACCAATTACCGTTATTACGATTAAACGAACACGTCTGAGTCGTCAATAATGTTAGTTTACATACTTCAGGGATTTGTTTAAACTGTAATTGGCTAGTTTTAACTTTTTTACTTCAAAAGTCAAGTATTGTTTGAAGTTGAAAAATGGCAAATATCTTTTTAATTTATTTTTTCAAGAATTTTTTTCCTAATATTTATAATTTTGATTCGCGAATTTTGGGACATTCTGTATATACACAACATATACATGTGTGTTTTTGAGTGTATATGTATTATGTAATTTAACCTCATTGACATTCATGTGGGTTTGAGTACCAGATCCAGTTTGCCAAATAATTAAAGGAAAATGATCGTCATATAATTTTCCACTTATTACATCATCGGCAGCTTTGCTAATGGCATCAGCAATTTTAGCATCCATAAAGCCACATTCTTTGTTTACCTCCGCAGCAGCTTTTTTTAATATACCCAGAGCAACTATTACTCCATACTGCAAAATAATTGATTACTTTTAAAAGAGCTGAAAAATAATATAATAATAAAAATAATAAATTTATATAGCATTACTATTTCTTACAGGCATACGTTCAAATGTACCACCAATTGGAAAGTTCATTACTGCTCGAAGAGTTTGTGCACCGTAATACTTGTCTATTGGGACTTTTAATTCTCCAAATGTATCTCGTTCTATTCTATAGCCTGTGTGTCCCTGCTCCTGTACATACAAAGTATACGATTATTCATATTTCTAACATAAAACTATATATGCACACAGATCAATTTGTTTACGATGAGTTAATTTTTATTTAGAATAAAGTATACTTTCATTAAAAAATTTTTAACCAAAATAACAAGAATTGAATATTTATGATATATATTGAATATTAATATATGCCATTAAAAATAATTATATGAAACTGAAATGTTATATAAATTAAGCGATATACATTGTAAGAAAAGTTAGAAAATTTAAAGAAAAATTAGTTCCTTTAATTTTTTTCCTATTTGCAAATAATGAGTTGCAATAATCGACGTCGCTCTTTTCTACTCTTTCTCTCATAAAAATGTAAGATTAAAAACCTTTTTTACATCAAAATAAACTTGTACCTTTTTATTCATTGTAACTGTCGAGGTAGACATATATAATTTCGATGATAAACAGTTTCTAGTAACGATAAATTTTCTTAATAAGCGCAAGCTGTGATTAGAAAGACGGCATTTCAATATGTTGAATGTCATTTTTTATTACAATTCCAACACACTTTCCGCGTTTCAGATAAGATAAAAAAATCTCAGTAGGAGGTTGCAGACGAAACAACCAGTATACAGCATAGACAAAAAGTATAGAAGCACGGTTCTCGGTACTCCGCGGGTCGCACGAGCTGAGGTACTTTGCTATAGTTTACGTCACGTATACTGTACTGAAATGCTATAGATAGTACAGTATACGTGACGTAAACTATAGCAAAGTACCCCAGCTCGTGCGACCCGCGGAGTACCGAGAACCGTGCTTCTATACTTTTTGTTTTCCCAAAAATAAAGAATTAAAAAAAAGTGGATAAGTAGTTGCAACATAATTAAAAATGTAACAAAACATATGTTTGTATGTAGTCTGCGATTTACTAAAAAAGATTATTATTTGATTGGTAAATACCAGGGTTGGGAAGTAACGAGTTACTTGTAACGAAGTTACAGTTACAGTTACTTTTTTTCGGTAACTGTAACTTAACTTCGTTACTTTTCTCCATCTGTAACTGTCTGTAACGAGTTACTTGTAACGAAGTTACAGTTACAGTTACTTTTTTTTCGGTAACTGTAACTTAACTTCGTTACTTTTCTCCATCTGTAACTGTAACTGTAACTTAGTTACATTTTTTTAGTAACTAGTAACTATTTTAACAGTTACTTTATTAGTTACTTTTTTTGGAAACATCCGCTAAAAGTATCGTTTAAGTTTAGTAGCCGTTATATTGTTAAATTAAATTTTGATAACAGTAGCATATCGATCTTCATATGATTTAATCTTTTACTTAAAATTTTCATTTTGTGTACATAAAATAATTTAACACATAATTAAGATCGACCAATCACAGTCAAGTATTTAAAAAAATTCTTAAATGTAATAATTGATCGATTTGCTTGCGACTTTGCGATTACCATTTAGTAAGTTACTATAACTATTTTTACTGTTGTATATAAAGGTCATTCATACATTGATGGTAATTGCAAAGTCGCAACCAAATCGATCAATATTACATTCAAGAATTTTTTTAAATACTTGACTGTGATTGTGCATAAAATGTAAGCTCCTTATATTTAAAATAATGTATAATTATTTTTAAAAAGTAACTGAAAAGTAACGACTCGTTACTTTTTGAGTAACTGTAACTGTAACGAGTTATTTTTAAAAATCAGTAACTTGTAACTGTAACTAGTTACTTTTTCAATAAAATAACTGTAACTGTAACTAATTATTTTTACAAAGTAACTTTCCCAACCCTGGTAAATACATATTGAATATAAGCAATTAAATTTTAATTAATACATTAAAAATTATATTTATATGAACAATATTTGTTCTACAGGATCAGCCAGCAAAATTTTTAAATTGAAAAAGGAAGCTATTTCATCGCAGAATTTAATAAGTATAAGAAAGGATGAAGTGTTCACCAAATATTATATATTAAATTAGAGATAATAAAATATATTATAAATAAAAAGAAAAGTAATAAAATTGTTAACAGGTAAATAATGATTTGTAGCATTTGACGTGTAATACATTATTTATGTGTATGCATATTATAATTAACATAATTTTAAATTTTTAAATTTTAAATAATTTAATTTTTTTTAAATTTTTTTATTGGTGTAACTTTATACATCAATTTTGCATTTTTTTTTAAATTTTCCCCACTTTTGTTTAACGTCTGTACAGCTTGATTCTTCGATGTCTTCAACAGTCGTTCTTCAAGAATAAAAAAAATATATTAATTTAATGCATCGCAATAGGTATATGAAAATAAAATTGTTGATTTTATATTTACCTAATTAAGTGCATTAATAAGGCAATACTGTGTTTACATTTGTCATATTGGCCTGTTTTGCAAGAACATATGCAAGATATATTTATTTTATTAGCTACATTAATAATTAAATGAATTTCATGTGGTGGGCCAACCAAATCCGAGTTTTTCAAGCACAAGCACATTATTTTTTTTCTTCTGCTTTTTTTGAAGTTATTCCCACGTACATAAGGTGGTTTGTCTTCAGCACATTATCTCCTTCAACATACGCTCTTGAACCACCTCCAACATAATCAATCAAATTACTAATGATAATTATAAAAGTTATATTTTACGTTTTAATAAAACTGAAAACTTGTATATGCGCCCGATCTTTGAACCGCAAAGATAACGACTATGAAGGTTCTGCTCGGGCCCGCTAGGGACGCGCAACAGTCGCTACCCATGGCGAATGTCGGCACGGTAGAGAAACGAGATTATCGGTCCTTGTCTCTCTACGGTGCGTCCGCGTGAGCAATGCAATGAGGTCTGTTCTTTTCGGCTGAACTGGCTACACTAGTTCAGAGGTTGTCTTTTTTGCTCGACATTGGAAGGAAAGAGATAACCTCTGAACTAGTGTAGCCAGTTCAGCTGAAAAGAACAGACCTATGGTGGTAATAATAGAAATTTTAATTGATAACGGCTACCCAACAGATTTTATTTTTAAAACAATTCATGATAGATTAAAATATTTATTTAATAAAAAAGAAGATATTATTAAGGGGATGCCGGAGGTCTACTTTTACTGACCAAACCGATTATATTTTGTCACTATCGAGAAGTTTTTATTGTGTTAATAGAATAACAAATGCTTTTCCACGATTGCACGGTCCGACGAAAGTTAATACAATAATAAAGGAAGAAGCGGTCTGAATTTGTGATAAAAAGACAAAAAAGTTTTTTTTGGCTTCTCGCGTCACGTCACAATATTTGCTTGTATAAAAGTTTCACAATTTATACGTACAAAATAAGACCGCTTCCTTCAAAAGATTGCATAAAGGAATATTAGTGACCTTGCAGAAATAAGTTTAGAAGTCTAATAAAAAAGATCTCGATCGTGGAATATTTCATTCACATGTGTATGTGCGAAATGACATTTAGGAATAATACAGAGCAGAAAATTAGTTACGCGATGTCGCGATAGATGAAGCTGCAATCGTGCAGTTAGACAAGGACAGACAGTTATATTATCTTTGTCTCTCTCATACATAGAATAATATAACGCAAAACGTCTGCCTCTTTGTCAACATAGAGTTTCCTTCAAGAAAGGCTCGATAAAAAGGTTAGTATATTTCTTTATATGCATGCATGTATGTATGTATGTATGTATGTATGCGTATATATGCGTAGAAAATGTTTATAAAGAAATATATATATATATATATATATATATATATATATATATATATATACATACCTATCGATTTATTTAGCTATCTGCCTGTCTATCTATCAAACTATCTATTGATCTACCTATCGATCAACCTATCTATCTATCTATCTATCTATCGATCTATCTGTCTCTCTGTGTTTCTGTTTCTGTCTCTCTGTCTCTTCTCTCTTTTCTACATTGCATTCTTTCATACATGCACACGTATATATAATTTTTTAAAAATAATCTGTATTACATAAATAAAAATAATTTTTATAATCTAAAAATATATAAAAATCTTTTATGAATATAATTGATTATAAAGTTTTAGTGATAATTTTTTGTAATAAATAAATGATTTATATGATTTATTCTCATCTAACTACTGCTCTGTTTTGATAATAATAGTATTATTATATTCAATCTCTAAAATACTTTTATATAAATCATTTATCAGAAAGAAATATTTTTATCGGCTCTCAATATTAAGAATATAAATATGCCGTTTTTTTAAATCGGCTAACAGAGCCAAAGCACGAAAAATTAATTATTCGGAACTGTATCTCTTGGTTTGAGATCATTAAGTTCCATATATAAATTAATCTCGAAACTTACATATGGAGAAATAGGCGCGAAATTTCGAGATTAATTTATATATGGAACTTAGTAATCTCAAACCAAGAGATACAGTTCCGAATAATTAATTTTTCGTGCTTTGGCTCTGTCGGCCGATTTAAAAAAACAGCATATTTATATTCTTAATATTAAGAGCCGATAAAAATATTTCTTTCTGATTTTATTCATGCCTTGGCCTAATCACGACGTTATTTACTAACATCTACTAAAAGGCAAATGAAAAATATAGGATCGAAAGGGTCTGAATAGCTTAGTTGGTAAGAGCAGTCGCCCGGAAAGTAAAAGACGGTTCGATTCCCGCTTCAGCGACTTTTCGGACCTATATTTTTCGCGCCTATTTCTCCATATGTAAGTTTCGAGATTAATTTATATATGGAACTTAGTGATCTCAAACCAAGAGATACAGTTCCGAATAATTAATTTTTCGTGTTTTGGCTCTGTTGGCCGATTTAAAAAAAGGTCACTATTTATATTTCGGGAATAGGAACAAAAACAAATAGTTAAGCTGCGAATATATTTTTATTGTTTTTCAAAGTACTCGCCACGATGATCGATACACTTTTGCATGCGCTTAAACCAATTTTCAAAGCATTTATTCCATTCCGAATGAGGTATCTCCAAAACATGATTTTTGAACGCTTCAATAGCTTCTTCGGGCGATGAAAATCGTTGACCACGCAGTTTATTCTTCACGGATGGGAACAAAAAGAAATCATTGGGTGCCAAATCAGGGCTGTACGGCGGATGATCTATCAATTCGATGTTTTGAGTGCTCAAATAGTCTCTTGTTTGAGCCGATGTGTGAGAGCTCGCATTGTCATGATGAAGAACAATCCGACGTCTCTTCCCATACAGCACAGATTATTGCAATTATATTGCAGCAACGTTGCAATGTTGCAAGTTGCAATGCAACATTATAAAGACATTGCAGAGATATAGGTGCACAAAATTCCAGCACACTTGTAGCAACATGACATTAATATTTCGGAAATATTGCATGTAATCCAAATTCTATAATGTATATATATTGTAATATATATTTATATATTGTAATATATATAAATTAATTACAACGTATTTTCATTAATGATTTATTTACATTTATATACCTGTATATGCAACATTAGTTTATGGTTGCAATAACAATGCATTATTGCAAATTCATAACATTGCAATATTGTTGTAATATTTTGTTGCAATCTTCCAAAAAGCGGACATTTTAACATTGCTGCAATTCAACAGCAATGATGTAGCAACATTTTGCAGTGAATTTGCAATATTGCAATATTGCGGTGAAAGATTGTTGTAATGTTTTTGCAATCTATCGGTGCTGTATGGGTTGTTTGTTTTCCTTATTTCACCGAAGATTTCTGGCAAACAGATGGTTGTGTACCACTCAGAATTTACTGTTCTACGATCCTCTAGAGGCACTGTTGCAATATGACCAGTTTTTCCGAAGAAACAGGCCACCATTTTCTTTGAAATGCTTCGTGCGCGAACAACTTTTGTTGGATTTGGTTCATTTTGGAACACCCATACAGTCGACTGCTGCTTATTTTCGGGCTCATACGAATATATCCATGATTCGTCACGATTTTATAAACGTCTTTTAAAGCACCGCGATTGTATTTCTTAAGCATTTCTTTGCACCAATCGACACGAGCCTTTTTTTGAGCGATTGTCAAATTATGTGGGATCCAACGCGAACATAACTTTCGCACAGCTAAGTGTTCATGTAAAATCGCATATATGCTGGTGGAACTAATGCTTAGAAATGCCTCAATCTCACAATAGGTTACATGACGATCTTGCTTAATCATTTCGTGCACAGCATCGATGTTTTCTGGCACTACAGTCGATTTTGGACGACCTTCACGAAACTCGTCGGACAGCGAACTACGACCACGATTGAATTCACTATACCAGCGATACACAGTGGTTTTTGATAGAGCTTCATCGCCAAAAGTCAAATTAAGTTGATTGACGCACTCTTGTTGTGATAATCCACGTCAAAAGTCGTAAAAAATCATCGCACGAAAATGTTTACGATTCAGTTCCATTTTTTGCCGAGACGAAACTTTCAACTAAATATAAAATAAACAAATAGCGTCCGTATGACAAAATGTTCTGAGTACGTATATCGTCAAAAATGTCAAACTTTACAATGGAACCGTCAGATGGACTCACATGACATCAGTGTTGCCAATTCCCGAAATATAAATAGTGACCCTCGTATATATATATATATATACATATATATATATATGTATATTCAATTAATGAACAAATATATTAGAAATATATATTTAAAGTTAAATTATTGTTTGCTGATTAGAATTAAATTACTCCTGCTTTATTGTTTTTTTTCAATTATAGGTGTTTGTTTCAAGAAGTTTCCTAAGGTGCAGGTTTCCGTAGTTGAAGACCATATAAAACAATGGTTTAACACTTCTATGCAGCGATCAGACTAATTGGATCTTTTGATGAGGATTAATTGTATTCCGACTTTAACTATATATATGCGAGTTCCATAAACCTTATACATTGAAAAGTATAAGATTATTTTATGGAACTTACATATATAGTAAAGTGCTTCACATAAATTCTACTTTTTTTTATTTGTCACTTTTTGCCTTAGTTTATAATAAGGTTTATTTTTATTTTTTAATTTGTTCTATAAAATATATATATTTATCTTTGTTATGTCTTTAAAATTTTTATTCTTCAATTAAAAAGGATAATATATTATTATATATAATATTTCTATAATAATATTAATGTTATAAAGTTATAATATTTGTTATTTAAAAAAAAGTAATATTTCTTTTAATTTATAGAAGAGCTTTTTTATATTTAATTTTTTTAATTAAAGACTTCTCTTTATAATATTTAGATGTTTGGATGCAAAATATTTTTAAGTTAACAAAGACACTACAATATAAAAAGTAACTTTAACTTATTTCTACATTGTTCTTTCCTTATCTTCTATTTGTGAAACTGCTTTAAGGAAGATTCACACCTACACAGAAAGCAGAAAACAGCAAAGCATTAATAAGCTAATATATTATAACTCGCGCTGGTAGTAAGTAGTAACCGAAACATTTTTCTGTTGTACTATGTTTACTACCAGTCCGAGTTTTGATTGGCTAATGCTTTTCTGTTTTCTGCTTTTCTGCCTAGGTGTGAATTCTCCCTTATTCAATGCACTGAATATAAAAAACAGAAGGTCAAAATAATGTCAAAATATAGTCACTTTTTTCCCCTGTTTGACGTCATTGTGATTTTCGCCATTTTGACTTCATTTTGACGTCATTTTGACATTATCGTGACTTTTTGTTCTCCTTGAGATAGGACAATTGGAAGATGATTGGATAATGATTGAAAGAAATCTGTGCGACCTTCGAAACTCGTTCGAATTTTTATGTAATGCTGGAGTGTTGAATGATCTGCGTGATTAACAAATTTTTACCTTTAATACGACGAACTCTTCGTAGACCTGTGATGTGCCTGGCCAGCTTCGCTCCCTCGCAAGGACGTGGGGTGCTTATAACGAAATCAAACACTAGGTTGTACGATGCACTGAAGTTCTTTTATTCGTCTTTTAAGCCGGTTACAAGTTGTGCGCGATTAAGAATTAAGAAATTAGCGAGGTCGACGGCTAACCCGTGACTTGAACAATATACCAAGTTACAAATTGACGCGGGGTTACAGCGACTAAGCGTCGTTGACAAAGTTATCTATTTCGAGATTCGCGTTATAAACCGTTATGATCTTTTAGGATGATACGAATAATTGTTGCTGCGCTCCTCGGCTAGCGACAATTTAGGATGTAACTTTTATGATGAAATGCCGTCCTCTGGCCAGATTTTCTAGGGTTTATATATCCCTTGAAAACGAAAAATCCTGGTGTTGTGTGCAAATTTTTGGGTAGGAGGATTTCCACGATAACGCTTTTTCAGGAAGATATCATAATAAATTTTCTTAT